ATTTGCACGTATCATAGTGACCTCTATAGATGGCACTTGTGCGAATGCCGCCAAAACTTGGGAGAAATCGGCTGCTATCCTTCGCTGATGTTGATTTAATAATGTAAAGAACAAAGTTCGTAATTCTACAATAGAACTTATTATAATTTAGTCTAACTTATAGTTTGTTACTTTCAATTAATTTGTAGTAACTAATTGCTATGTTTAGATACGAAAAATGAGTGTAAAGATTTTCGACTAAAAGAAAATTTCGTATCGTGTGACTTGTATCGTTTCTAATAATTTTATACAGATGGATTTGTGCTTAACTTTTAACTGCAATGGAAAGGTGAACGCTAACGATTGGGAGTTAAGCAAGGAAAGTTTATTTCTACGTGGAGAAGTAAATAATGTTCTCTACCCACAAGATGAATATCCATTGTCCAATGTGGATGTCCAACTGTTCAATTTTACTATACCTTCTTCAACAGCTGTATTAGATTTAAAACATTATGTGAAATGCATGGCGTATGAAATTTTTTTTCTATGAATATTTAAGTGTCCATGTCTCATATTAATACTCCTTTTACTTTTCTTTATAGCATGCAATTAAAAATACTCAATAGGCATGAAACTTATAATCATGTTTTAAATTCTAAAGAGGATAACATAAATTTTTATTACGTAAGGCGAACTGTATGTGAATTCATTTCATACATTAGAATGTATTTAAACAGGTAAGATAAGGTTTGTCGTTTAAATCTAATTTAATCGATTTGTGTTTTTTATAATGCAAAATTTGCAGTATTAAGTGGGATCTTCAATGCTTACAAATTATAAATGAAGATATTGAAGAAGAATTTAATTCATTATTCATTACCGTAAAAAAATTTCTCTGCAGACTACAAAATATACCAGATGCCACGTTTCATTATGCACCTTCTAAATTAGGCAATCAGGTTTGCATGAAAATTATGTACATTAATATACTGCACTTATAGTTTTAATATGTGTTTTATGTGTTACAGTGTAAACAACCGGAATATCACATGTATCATATGCACTTAGAATTACGATGGCTTTTTATTTCGTTAGTCTATACACGCAGTATATGTTATCAGTATTCAATGGAGACTCAATTAGACGAATTTGAAAACATTCAGGGAATAATAATCAACGATCTTATTTATATTTCATTGAAGATATTTGAAACGGTAGAAGACCAAGTATCGGTTTCATTAAGAAAATGTATTTACACATTTGTATTTGTGTATTATATGTTTTAGATGCCTTTATCGAGTTTACAACAGAAAACTGCATACAATTGTACTTGCATTCGTGAATTGTGGCTCATACTTCAAGTATTTATCGATAATTTGTCAGAACGAATGAAATCAAAGGTATATATTAGATGTTTACCAATCAGAGGTGGATCTATACAGTCATTTACCTTATATAAAACATTTTGGAAAAAGATAGAATCCCTCGAAGTAATTTGTTTGAAATGCGTCACTGTTACTGTACTCTTGAATATAGCTATAACATTTGTGTCTACAGACTTTTTGGGACTATGTGAACGAGAGTGTTAATGGATTATTAAATAGGAATGTATCCGATACTAAGCAAGAATCTTGGAATTGTAGCTTACCACCTTGTAAAAATTCTGAATTGTTTTGCCTCTGGCTTCTTTACAATCTTGTGCTTTTATATGGGTACAATATGGATGGTATATATATAGGTGCTAAATGTTCAAGGGTAATTTTACAATTGTTTTCGCATTGTTTCTGCTGATATTAATTATATAATATTAACTGTTCATTCGTGCTCTTAAAGATTAGGCCTAATTACGAGCAGCTTGAAAAAATTTTGAAAACGTATATCTCTAAGGGTGGAAAAGATGGCGAAAGAGATGAAATTGATGAAGAATTACGCATAATGATACCATTGTTAAATAATATTGTAACAAATTGGTGGCAACCACGAGTTTCGATAATTTCTTTACTTTGGGATTGCTTTCATAAAAGATTAGATGAACCATTTTTATTACAAACATCTGGTCCTTGGACTTTATCGGTTGAAAAGTAAGTATCAATTTATCAGTTCAATATGTTTGTACGATCTATAAATAATCGTTTCTAATAGGAAGACAGCAATGGATATTCTTAAACAAGTAAGAGATAGAATTAATAACACGGAATGTGTTAAAGAGTCTAGTTATGGAATGTTTTTACGTTTGCTTGGTAAGTATTATTTAAGTTTTTACACAAAGTAATTGAATTAATGAATATATCAATTTTAAACACAAATTGCAGGATCCTTCTTGCAAATAAATTATGGTAACAATGATACAAGGTATTGGAACCAAATTAAAGGGCGTATCTATTCAAAATTTTCTAAGAGCAAAGTACAAGTATTTTCCTTAACTGGGTTGTATAATTTCATTTCATTATTTTTAACATTAGCTGTTACCGGAGATACCACAAACGTAGTAAGATTTACATAAATGTATTACAATCTCTCTCCTTTTGAATATTTTTCCTTTAGGGAATACACGTATAATTTTTATTTTTTCACAGTGTTCAGTAATGCTAGATCTTTTACCACTGACAAAAGAATACAATAGTGAAAATAGTAAAAAGTATATTTTAATTTGGAAAGGCAAATTGGCTATTCTTCTTTTATATAATGATCTTAGACTTAATTTCGGAAACATAGCATCTTCCTATATAGATACGGTACAGTATACAAATTTATCATTCAATAGAAATTTCTTGCTGATTATAATTTTTTAATTTTAATTACGTTCATAGGTGAATGCAATAAGTTGCCGTAAAGATGATACCTCTCGTTCGATGATGGTCCATTTTGTTGATGTGTTTAGTACAATTATGTCATCTAGTACAATGGAATTAGGAGAATATCAACTGCTCGACGGCTGGATAGATCGGTATTTACTGGAATGTCCGACTAAAATGGTCGGAACAATAACAAAGGTGCTAGTTAACATCTTCGAAAAATGTATTTCACTTGCTCCAAGTTGCCCTAATTCAGGTTCGTTGCTTTTAGATGATATAACAATTGCGGGTCTTTCTCCCGTTTTCTAGTTCTAATTAATTTTCTATTTTTTCGTTAGGTATAAATGGCATAGAAAAAATGTTAGATGCGTTATGGTGTTATGTTGCATGTAGAGTACGTCAACTTATTTTTGACCCCATAATGACCGGTGATTATTATCGGGATGTCTCGAAACTTGCTGCTGCATTTACTTTGGAAGCATTGAGGAATCCAGTAACAGCAAAGAAGCATAGCCACTCGGCCACGTCTTTATTTCAACATTTTGCCTCGTCTGTAATTGTAAAAGACATCAGGTAATACCACGAATTCTGTCTAATATCATAAGCATGAAATATTTCATGTCAAAATTGTATTTTAGAATCACAAGATGTTTCTTGGTATTAATACTCGAGCAGAAACAAGCAGTTCAAGCTCTACAAAAAGAAATAAAAAATTTTAATACAATAGTCATACAGGCAAGTACACTTTCAAAATACGAGAGTAGATAATTTTAAGTAATGAAATTTTAACATAATAAATGAATTATAGGCATGGATAAAATGTTCTATAATTGGATACAATACAAATGGTGATGAAATAAAAATCATACAGAATTATATATTACAATTGGATGAGGTACAACAAATATTCGTGACACATCGCGATATTCAAGAATTTCAAGATAGCAATGAATCCATTTTAGTATTTATAATGCATTCTATGAAGAAACGAAATACTTTGAAGGTATACATCTTCAAAACTACAAAAGTTATATAAAAGTTGATGTTAATCATTTTTGTCAGACTGAACAAGAACGAATGCAACACGACGCAAAATGGAAATCGTACTTTAATCATTTAGAAAAATGGATTCTTACACCGATTACAGAGGAAACTAAAGATTCAGAATTAGCTTTGTGGATATATAGGTGCATTGGAACGTTAATTCTTTGTACTTCTACAATGCTATATTCTAAAGTGAGTATTAAATGTAATGTTTTCTGTATGTATACAGAATGAGTAATAAGTACATTATAATTCATATAAATCTATTTTCAGAACGTACCGAATAATATGTTCAGAACATTATTAAATAAGACTATTCTTTCATTGGATCAGCCATTCTTACAAAATTTAGCAAGAAAAACATTTTCCATGATACTTTTAGGAATAGAGGCTCTCAATGTTAAGAGCGATATATCACTCCAAGTACTAATACGAGATCTCTTCGACCAATATGTGCCACTTCTAGTAACTTCAATTAACAATACGAATAATTTTAAAGTATCCGATTCATTACTGAAATGTTTTAGAGATGCAAAGGCAGATTTTTTACGTTTGGTATTCGAGATACTGATGACAAATTTTGTTACCGTTTCAAGTGACAACATGATGCACAAACACTTCCATTTAGTACGTATTATTTTCTTTTCTTTCCACAATTATAAGACTATAATTAAACGTGTTCTCAATGCAGGTAATAATATTTTTACAAAGTCTACTCAAAGGTGAAAAGAATTATGCACGTCATGTAACGGAATATATTATTTCAATTTGTACACCTTATATTGTTGGAAGCTATATCAAAGTTCACGATCATCGTCCACATAAACAACACATCATAGACTTCATCACTAATGTTATTAGGAATTCATATTATAAAGAAGACCATATATTACAGTTAGTAGTAATATTTTTAATTAGTTTCACGAATATTATCAGACTATATTTTATGGATTTAACAATTTCAGGGAAACGTTTAATAATGTAATATGCAATACCGTCCAAAAATCATTAACAACAAATCAACATAATACTTTCGAATTTTTGCGGTCAGTTTTATCGATAAAGACCGAAATAATAGAATATTTATTGCCCCACATTGAACATACCGTAATTAACCTTGAGAAAAATCGACGTCCAAACGCGGCATCTTTAAGGTGAGAGAATAATAAAAATTACTCTTCGTGAAGGTGTTACAATTATTGTACATATTTTATTTTATTTACAGATATTCCTGGAATCAACTTCAGATTGCTATGACAAACATAAAAGAGAATCGATTGTAAGGTTTAACAAAATTTATTAACAAATAGTGAACAGTATCGAAATGATACTTTCTAATTATGCTAAAAATTCATTACGCATAACTGCGTTTGTGTACATAATTGCATGAAATTATAATGTATAAATTATACTTAACTGAACAATAATACATAAACATATAACTATGATTTAGAAAGTAAGATAATGTTATGTATATAGTACAGACACATTGTAATTGTTGAACTTTGAAGCATACGCAATTTTATTTGCCAAATTTGTAAGAGATTTTTCTGTATTTTCTATGCAAGTAAAAAATGAGAAGTAACAAATAAGTAGTTTTAAATGATGAATATTATTTTAATATAGAGAAGGGAGGCATTGTTGAATGTGCTGAACTATGTCTCAGGGACCGATATTGTTGTTGTTGTTAAAACTTATCAAATCTTACAGTTTTTGACCTGAAAAGTCCGAAAATGTAAGTTAAAAGTTTACGAATTCAATAATTTAAAAGATACCCATCCTCTGATTGGTTTGCACGGATGACTGTTCCATCACACCTGTATTCAAATCTTCATTTCTTTCAGGTTTGGATTTGTTATTTAGTTATTCATTTGTATCATCAAACGGAACCTTCATAGCCTCGTGTTTCTGTGTTCTGTTAAATAAGTGTGTTCTATTCTGTGTGTAGTGCATAATCCATAATGAGTGGTATAAAGTTTAATTTGGTCTTTTTTTTAATTTGAAGGGGTATTTAATAATTAACTTTAATATGATTTCTGCAGCTTGCCCACTTCGAAAGAATCGGCTGTTGCATGGGCCCGAAAACAAGGTCTTCCACGATCGAGTAAGAATTGCCCTGCTTATCAAAGGCCAATGCGACTGCAAACAGGCGGCGAACATGGATTTGGGCGTTTTCGTTGTCCTGTTGACTGCGACAAATGCAAACAGTTCACAGTCGACTCTTTCTTCCACAATGTCCACCTGCCAATGCAAAAAGCAATAAAGTAAGTTTTTAAATGATAAAATTCGACCCACACCCAAAATGATAATATAATATAATATAATTTATAGCTTGTAGGATGATATAAATTTTACAAGACTTTTTAGAGAAATGCGTTGGGAAGACAAATTTCATTCTTTCATTTTCTATGATAATATTACCGATTATTGAGTTATCTTCTGTTATTTCAATAAATGCATGGATAGATATTAAGTTCCTGTACTCAATACTCTGGTTCCTGTTTAAGTTTAATATTACTTGTGGAGGTAACAGTATGTCTCTTTGTCTAATTGAAAGATTTCTTGCATTAAGTTCCTCTAGCGATCTGTCCAGTCTAGTGAAAAGCGGGGTGTGGTGACTGCGTGTATTAATGAATAATACATTTCTTTCGCAATTAAGTAAGAGATTCCTGCTTGGGTTGAATACAGTAGCAGCTACTTTGCACATATAGTTACTGGCTAATTTCATTCTGCGATACTTTAAGGGCATTAATCTTCCTTCTACCAGTAAGCTACTTATGGGACTGGTACAAACGGCACCTAGTGCTATTCAGAGACTCAAGTTCTGGATAGTATTCAGAGTTTTGACCTCGTCACTAGCCCCATATATTATCGAGGCATAATCTAATTTCGGAAGTACAATAGATTTATACGTATTTAACTCCTGAACTTCTGTTCTGGATAGTATTCAGAGTTTTGACCTCGTCACTAGCCCCATATATTATCGAAGCATAATCTAATTTCAGAAGTACAATAGATTTATACGTATTTAACTCCTGAACTTATTTTTTCGTTATTTCAGTTATTTCAGATACTCAGGCACAGAAACATGAAAGAAATGAAGATTTGAAAAGAGGCGCGAATGGTCGTCCGTGCGAACCAATCAGAGGATAGGTAGAGGCAGTGATGGACATCGTGGGATTTTTCCTGATCATGCGCATCGGAGCGAGCGTTGCAGTCCTCACTGCTGTATACACTTACTTAGAATTTAGGGTACCATTGGATCCCAGTAAGGATCAAAATATAATGTCCTCTTCTTTGCCTCGATGATTCCTGACCTGAACGGCTGCGGTTCATTATCATTTTTTTTTAATTTTCTCTAATATTACACTCACCAACACTAACACTCTTGTACTTAATTTGTCTGTTAAAAACGCGGGAAAATTGCACAGGCCCCTTAAATTCACCTCTGGCGGTTCGAATACATGTGTGGTAGCAGACGACATGTAGCTGTGACGTCAGCTTACGCATGCGCAGAAAGGAATTCCTCGAAGGAAAAATCCCACGAATGTCCATCACTGGGTAGAGGCAATATGGCATCGTACTAACCTGTCAAAGTACGCCAAATACACACATCTTTATGTACTCGTATCTTTTAAACTATTGGATTCCTAAACTTTTAACTTACATTTTCGGACTTTTCAGGTCAAAAACTACAGAATTTGATCATTTTTAACAAAAAAAAAATGGGCGCCTGAGACAAAGTTTGACCTCCTCGTTTCCCGCCATGGTCCGGCGAACATATTCAAATATTCTGAGCTACTACTTTAATATAATGACCCTATATTTTAAAAGTGGAGCAAACCTTTTTTGTTACTATTTTATCGTTAGTAAATAAACTTTGCATGCCGACATCGGAGTAGATCAGTCCCGACTAGTAATATCCCTACAAATATAAGGTTTGACTGCGTGATTGTTTAAAACTATCGTTAATTATAGAGAACAGATACAAACTCACCGATTTCGATGATTTTTAAATATGTTGTAGAAATCAACATTTTGAACAACTTTTTCCTATACATATAACCATCGCTCGGCCTTAATTTCCGAGATATTTGCACTCTTTGTTCAATTAAAAAACTTACAAGTCCTCAATCATAGATTGAACGACAGTGGTTGAAAACCGGCTTACTAAAATACAGTAAAGGCAAAACTAATTGATTATTAACGCAAAACTGATCTCATAGCTCAACATCCAATGTAATCAAACGCTAACACAATCCCGTAGCTCAGCGAATAGTGTAATCAAACGCAAAATGTATCCATACTCGCTCACTTCCGTTTGATTACATTTAAAAGTGAAAAACGAAACCAGAATGGTTTTTAACCATAAAATAAATCAGTGTATCATATCTATCGCATATAGTCAAATATTCACGCAAGTTCATTTTTAATCCTTTAAAAACAATCCGTTCAGTAACGACGTCAGTGTAAACTAAATTTTCTCTGAGCCTAAACAATCACGTAAACAATCGACAATTGACGACTCCACGCTTAGAAGCACGTTGCCACAGCGCGTAGCTATACGCAATATTCATCGTTTTAGTAGCAATGGTATTTTACAAATATCTCGGAAACTAAAGCCGAGCGACGGTTATATGTATAGGAAAAAATTGTTCAGAATGTTGATTTCTACAACATATTTAAAAATCATCGAAATCCGTGAGGATATACCTGTTCTCTATAATTACCAAACTATCAGTGTGAAGTGTTGCCCGAGACATTGTTAGAACGTCAAAACGAAGTGTATTTCGTGTCTCTCCAGTTACTTGTTGAATTATTATATATTCATTAAGATTCAAACTGAACCCTCAAATAATATTTTTCGACCTCTACTAGGTTCTTCTTTAATAACCTATTCGCTGTTACAATTTCATGTTGAAAGGTATACAAAACTCGTACCGTTTGTGCACCATAACCAAATTTTTGTACAGTAAGTGTATATAACTAGAAAAATGGTTGTCACTTCTTCTTTCTAATTTTCGCCCATGTAAAACAAATAGATAACAATCGATATGGAAATAAATAATTCACCTGGCGAATCAATAAAGAGAAGCACAAAAAAGAAAAGACCTAGGGTACTCTCGACATCTTCAGACAAGGATTTTGTTCATGCTAAAAATGAACCACTAGATAATGAAGAGTACCAATCCGCCATGGAGGAAGAGGTTTCTGACTCTGAATCTTCACCAGAGGAGAATGAAGGAGATACGGAATGGCAGAAAATAGGAAAAAGAAGTTCAATAATAAGTCAATATTCAGAAGAAGAGAAACGTCTAATTGAAAACGTTAATTGCGATAATCCTTTTGCTCTATTCAAAGTATTCTTCACTGACTACATAGCAGGAATGATAATCGAAGAAACGAATAAAAATGCTGAACACAGTATAAAATCTCTATCGAGCAGAAGAAGACACCAACAGGCCTGGCAACCCGTTACAAGAGATGAAATAAATACATTTTTTGGTATATTGCTAATCATGGGTGTTGTGCAATTACCAGAAATTAGGCTATACTGGTCTAACAAGCCCATGTATACAAACATGTGCATAAAAAATAATATAAAACGTGATCGTTTTTTATCTATATTGAAACATTTACATTTCTCGGACAACACAACAGCTGAAACAGAAGACCGATTGCGTAAAATTAGAAATATTGTAGAGACAAGTGTTCTGTATAATAACGAAAAAAAGGTTGTTGAATTGTCCAATCAACTGTCATCTTACTATAGTTGTTTGCGGAAAACAATTAAGTGGTACCAAAAAATTATAATACAATTAATATGCGGGACATGCCTAATAAATGCGTGGTATATAAATCAAAGATGGGGTACCAAGTACATTACTATTTTAAAATTTAGGGAACACATTATTGATCAGCTGTTAACCAATGTTCACGACATCAAACAAATGAATATTGAAAAACCAGTAGTTTCAAAGAAAGTTTCACATTTTCTCGAATCATATAAAGAATCTGCAAGAAAGTCAAGAAAAAGATGTAAGCAATGTTACAAATGGTTATGCGAAACGAAGGGTAGAGATTATGCCACGAGAAAGGCAAAGAAGGTGACGACATATTGCAATAGTTGTAAAGGCCAGCCAGCACTCTGTTTGAAATGTTTTCAAAAATTACATAGTTAAGGTAAACGATAAGTCAGGATTATAATATTCAATTATCTTTTTACAACCGAATTGTTGTTATTTCCTTTTATAATATTCAGATAAAATAAACTAGCTCCAACTTTTTTCCAATTAATATACGTTAAATTTCCATTATTTAAGTTTTCAACCATATGGCAATATTTTCTAGTTCAGAGTTGCAATGAGGAAACGGGACTGAACCAAATTGTCTGTCTGTACGGTTGCGTCAAGTCACGTTTTCACTTTAGCTTAACTTTTGTTGCCTTCTGTTTCCTTCTTTTCGTATTTAGTTTTAAGATTGTACAGGGAGATCGAGGGAACTTTGATTCTGTCTATCTCCCTCGGGCCTTTACTCGCAGCAACCTCCACGTGGTAAGGCCTGGCAATCGGTATTACTCGTGACGAAAGGTTGTTCGAACGATCCTTCGTTGCGAGTAATAGCGAGCTAATGGTTGCGAACTTGTAATAAGATCTTTAGATTTAGATTAGCATAGGAGATCTTTCAATTATCAAACCACGTGTGTGTGTATGTAGATATGTATAGTATATTCATATACTGTATGAAAATATGCACCAAAGTATTGAAACTAACGAATTTCATCACAGACGTTACTTTTTCCGTTGCAATATCGATTACTAGAGCGACAATTTTACAATATTACATCACTTGCAAATATGATAATCACAAACTCATACACACCGTTAGATTTAGAATTAGATTTAGATTTAAAAGATGCTTTTACTGATCTAGAAATAAATCAAAGTTTTCAAAAATTTTGGAAGGAGGGGGATAATTTTTGAAAAAAAAGTTTTATTTTGAGAATTTGTTGATACTGATTTATAGGCCCTAAGAAACAATGCGATGTTTACTTGAACATGTTTTTTATATCTCTTATCATTTCCGAATTATAAGTGCAAAAGTTAAAGGCGCGGCTCGGACAAAAGGGGTAGTTTCTCCCTTAAAACGCAAAAATGGCACGAAATGAAGATGGTGTACTTCGTTGGAAGGTCCTACAAACAAGTGTACCAAGTTTCATCAAAATAGGGGTGTAACACTTACCGATGTTTCCTTGTTAGAAGCATGATGCTATTAAGAAAACGTGTTTTATATGTAAAAATATTTATAAAAATAGTATGATGCCATTAAGAAAACATGTTTTATACATATGTAAAAATATTTATAAGAATGATATTAGAATATATTTTTCACAAATTAAATAACACGTTCGCAGTTCAATTTTTTACATAAAATATGCTTTTCCAGAAACCGTCGTGTTTTTACTTTTTTATAATGATACTCCAAGTAATATTAAAACACGAATGGTAAATGAGTTAATTTTAAATACCTATAGTGATAACTACAATGAAAAATGTATAATTTTGCCGATGAATGAAGACCGAAACGTAGATAAAGGCATTGCGCATTTCATTTTTAATGAAAGCATGACATTCTTTGATAGATTTAAGATACCTACAGATTCTTTAAAAAACGATCCGGGAACTTCGGAGAATAATCAATCTTTTAAAGCAGGCTTAAGTATAATTAATGTACGAGTACGTATTTATTATATTAGTTTGTTACATAAATAAATACAGGGTGTCCCAAAAATGTTGGAGATCCTTGAAAGGAGTGGTTGGGGAGATGATTCGAAACAACTTTTTCCTTTGCAAAAATGTCGGATGGGGCTTCGTTAAGGAGATATTAACGGAAAACCCCGACCAATCAGAGCGCGAGTATGCCGGTGGAGCATAAGCTACGCACTAAGCGGCTGCGCTCATACGCTACCGCGGCCGCTCCACCAGCATACTCGCGCTCTGATTGGTCAGTGTTTTCCGTTAATATCTCCTCAACGAACCATCGGAGAACATTTTCACTAAGGAAAAAGTTGTTTCAAATTACCCCCCGCACCACCCCTTTCAAGGACCTCCAACATTTTTGGGACACCCTGTATACAGGCAGCTCATTTTGATGAGGTTAATAGTATTTAATATATTGCATTTACTAAAATTTAACATGTTACTGTTGAGGTATGTCGAGGTTTCGTGCTCGACAACCATTGGAATTCTTTCCCCCTCTTTGCGATGCACGGGCATGCTTTTTCGAGCGTCTCGCGCAGCGTCGTCATATTTGTCGTACGACCATCGTACGACGTTCGACGCGACAAGACGGTTTCGGTAATAAAGCGAGTTTGTGGTAAGTGCAAACGAATCGTTTTATTTTCGTCTTAAGTGTCCTTCTCTCCTTCCCTTCACTCTAGTATTAACAGTTACATTAAAATTTTTAATTTCTTTTGTCATTATACGAGGAGGCCCAAGTTAGATACTTGCCACAGGCACTTCATATCCTCGTTACGGCACTGCATCATAATAAACAGATAAGTATGCAAATAAGAATTTGCGATGGTGATTCATTCTACGTAATCAACGCTGCATGATATCCAAATTCACTAATCACTAGATGACCTAGTCTACAGCGTGTAGAGTCTACAGTGTAGACGCACTGCAATCATAGTTTAGTAAAGTTATCGTTAAGTTTTACGAGACACATCCTGACCTTCGTTGTTCGGTACAAATGTATGAGATTTGGAAATGGCATGTATGAAAATGAATATTCGTGCACGAGATAATTGCATAGAATTGAATATGTTACGAGTAATTGCAAGATGACGAGGTTGAAATGCGAAATGGCTATTTACAAGTAATATGACTAGGTGATGCAAACCACGCTTCTTAAATGGTAGAATTATAATCGTGGTGGTACTTTGACACCAAGTTCTCGCTTTTTCCTAAGTAGATTTTTTATTTACTTTGATTTTGTTCTAATACAATATAATATAATACAATACATTATAATAAAATATAATATTTATATACTAATTAACATCCTGTTCGGGGCATCCACACTCGCAGTTTGAATAAATTATTTTTTTCTCGTTTCATCAGCTTTACGTCGTATCGACTACAAGGTTATTAGTGAAAAATACTAATTGAGAGTGATTTTCTATTATACATATATTGTATTTTTGTGTAGATATTCATGCCTTACAGGATGTCAATTGTGTTTCTGATGTAGTCGTGCACTATTAGGTCTGAATCTGGACTGATTCTGTGCTTTTCTCTTTTCTGTTCAATCAACTATCATTCATATTCTCAATTACGATTTTTCGGAATGAAACTGTAATAACCGTCTCGTGATGTCACGACGCGCTCTAGTATGGAGCTCTCCAGTTACACGTGAATGCTTCGCTATGCAATACTCATATTTCAAAACGCCCATACCTTGGACACCGAGACACGTTAGCACAAATGGTTGGACAAGTATCGACTTATTTTCGCAATAAACTCACCATGTAAAAGCTAGTCGAAATCAATTGGAGATTAGAAACGCCCATCTCTTGCGAGTGAATAGACATGCAACCTTAAAATCTCGGAAACTATGACATTCAGTCAATTTTCTTTACAATTGTTTGCACAGTATGTCTCTGTATATGTACTTGTGCAGTACGGAGCAGAGAATTTGTTCACCTGAATTTCTTTCATTATGTTTAAATATAGAAGGTAGTATTATCAACAATTAGTTGTATGACATCAAGAGAAACATGTTATGTAGTATTAATTTTTAATAGGTAAATGTGCAGAGCTATGTGAACCTAGCACCATCAAACTTATCAAAAATTAATTTTTTTTTATGGAAAATGATAGTATTTCGTTTGTACTTGATTGTACCATCAATAGTTTCGTTTGTACCTTCATCAATTAATAATTTAAATAAAATTAAAAAAATGGTCAGCACCCGACATTGAGATTTTTGAAATCTGTTTTTTCCTTATTCTTTAGAACCTTTTATACTACTTTTCGCTTCGTTTGTACCTCAATAGTTTAAATTTTACAAGCAATTGTTTATACGCGTAAGAGACAAGTTCGTCAATTTTCAATATTTTTAAAATTTGCTTTTTCCCTATTCTTTAAAATCATTGTACCCGTTTGCAAAGCTTTTCAATATTGAGGTACAAACGAAACGAAAAGCGGTACAAACGGGTACAAATCATTCTAAAAAATTCAGGAAAAACAGATTTCAAAAATCTCAATGTCAGGTGCTGGCCATTTTTTTAATTTTCTTTATTTATTAATTGATGAAGGTACAAAGGAATCTATTGTTGATACAATCAAGTACAAACGAAATACTATCATTACCACACAAAAAATTAATTTATAAAAAGTCGGGTGTCAGGTTCATACAGCTAATGTGCAGTGGTGATTTCATTGTCAAATTACTCGTCTTTTTGTGATTGTCAGTATCCGTAGCACAATTGGATACAGTATCAAATTTTGAAAATGAATCTATTGAGGTACATTAACTCTAAAATTTACAATTCTCTAGATATTAAATTATTAAAATACTGGCATCGTGAACTTACGATATTTGAATTAGTATGTGTGAAAATGAATTTATTGAGGTACATTAACACTAAAATTTATAATTTATAAATTTATATTCTCTAGATATTTGAATTAATAGTTCTGTGCACGTTCTCGTGCATTTCTATCAATGACCAATGGACAGTGTTCCGACACTGTTGTAAGAATTCCATATTTAATTATTAGAAAAAGTTGCTGTTCACAGTAGCACGATTCAAGGTCAATGCAGCTTAATGGAGGTTAATTTGAGTTATTCAAAGTCAAATAAGAACAGATTACGAGCTGAATATCTAAAAAAAATTGATGTCTTTTATGCTACTATAAAAAGTAAGTAGCTCCATTTAGTAAAATGAGGTTTACCTTGAGACCTCATTCGCGCCTCCACCAAAAAACGTTAGTGCTACTATAATACCTCCTTCTTATGCCGTGAAACTTTTATGTACAACACTTTTTCATGTGTGTGAAGTTAGCCCCGCACTTTTCGAATTTTTGATTTTTTTATATTGCGCTACATTGTGACATGTTTGTGCCGTAAACCGCAACTCTGTAAATCAAAGCGTACTCAAGAAAATAGAACAAAACAAAATTTTTGATAGCCCCCACCGTTTTTTGTTAATTTTTGTTGACCCTCGAGCTAATCTCAATTTTTAACGCATATATCTCGTGTATTGTAAGTAGCACAATTTAGCACAACTTGCAGAATTCGATTATCTTTCGCCGTTCGCAAATTGTGCGAATATTACATTTTTTATTCTGTTACGAGCCAGGGCGATAGCGACGCGCGTGTGAGCCCTGCGAGTGGGTTGAATTCAAGAATCGAAGAAGATACGATTAGTCCTGTTTATTTCAATGGATCCAAAGATTCAGGATGGAGTAGAAATCGCAGACGACTCTGACGCGAAGTCAGATAGCTGCTGGGATCTGATTGGTATCTTCCAATTAAGGGTAACCGTAGGATCGGTATCTCCCAGTAAAGGGTAACCGTTGGGAAGGTTAGGTAAGAATTGAATCGTATCGTTGGAATATAATACGTGTCGTGGATAAAGCCTCGCAACTATTAATTCTAAACAAATAATAACTCGAGCGGTAAAGTTATTATGTTATTATTATATTGTATTCTAATAATACAATTGTACAGTGTCGTGTCGTCGCGGTTAGTGTATGAATTTAATTACCTAATTGTTGCACGGTGTTAACGCACTGGCGATGCGGGGGTCGAGAATGCTTCTATGCCGTAACAGATTTTGTACCGTCCTCGCGGATATATATGGTTAATGTTGATCGAAAGGGATCTGA